TTTTTTTGTTTACTTTTTTTTTTGTATTTTCAATTTTTTGTTTTTTGTTTTTTCGTTTTTCTACACCACCCACCCTCCCCTATCACACACGCAAAAAAAATTTAACTTACACATTTTAAATACTAATTTGTTATTTAAGAAAATATATTTTGATTCTCAATATATTAATAGTATTTATTTACCCTTTTATACATAGGTATATAAAAGGTAAAAGGCTTTTTTTACGCAAGATGAGCATGATTCTAAAACATAGGTCAAGTTGGGCAGGTTGGGCTATGACCCATTGTTTAGCCCATCTTAGACTAAGTACACTTTGGGCTGGATTGAGTAATGACTCATTTATTGACCTAATCCATCTTGACCCGCCCAAATTCAGCCCAACCCTACCCATTTGCCACCTCTACATGTGATCAGGAGGTCACAGGTTCGAGTCGTGTAAACAACCTCTTGTAGAAATACACGGTAAAGCTGCACACAGTAGACCTTTATGGTCCGACCCTTCCACGGACCCTGCGTATAGAGAGAGCTTAGTGCACCGCGCTACAATTTTAGTAGATAAGTTACTGAAAATGAGAGCAAAAATGCAGCACCTCATAGACATTAGATAAAACATGGGAAAATAAGATGTGATCCTGCGCATAGCGGGAGCTTAGTGCACCGAACTGCCTTTTATAAGATAAGTTACTGAAAATGAGAGCAAATATGCAGCACCTCATAGACATTAAAGGTGGGAAAATGAGATGTGGTCCACTAAGATCAATTAGAATCTTTATAATGAATATATAAAAGTAGATAGATAATGGCATATACTTGAAATCAAATACAGCAACAGTGTAAAAACATTTTCTTTATGTACGTATTAGGTTGAAGGTATTATAGTCTTTGGACTCCACAAGAAAAAGGGTATGTTACTGTATTATAATAATGAAGTATCATGATTTGTCAATTCACTTTTCACACACATTCACAAGAACCCCATTATAGCTTCTAAGCAGAAGGAACCTTTACAAAATTTGAACCTTACTTAAATCATTCCTTTTTTTCCCACTTGTATATATAACTGCCAAAAGCAGACAGATAGGCATTTAAGCTTCTATCCTTTATCTATGACAGCCTCATCGTGGTCCAACCTTTGTTCAACGACAAGCAAGAAACTTTAGAAAGTTTTCGGGTAAATCTGAACCATTTCACTTGTCAAGCGTTTGGACATAAATTTGGTTGAAGGTTGATAAAAGGAATTTTTGAAGTTGTGTTGAAAAATAATTTTTGGAAGTTGAAGTTATGTTTGGACATACATTTTAATTTTAAAAAAAAACATTTAAAATTTTGTGAGCGAAAGGAAATTTTTCACCCAAAAAATGCTGTAAACCAGATTTGGGAACTTAAAAAAGAAGTCAATTTTTTTTCAAAAACTGATCATATTACATGAACAAACATTGTTTCCAATATTTTTTTTCAAGAAAAGCCACCAAAATTTATGGACAAACGGGTCTTAAAGATAAATTTGATTTTTTTTTCCTTGCAAGAAAGGCTCGAAAGTTGAAAAACTTGTGCCGTTATACGATAAGGGAAAATCTACCTTTTATAACGATAAGGGTAAATCTGATCTCAATTACTAACGAACAACAAATTTGGACCATTTCGTAGAGCGCATAAGCAAATCTGAACCTTCTCTTGAAAATTTTCGACATAATATATAGTATAACAATATAATTTTTCGACAAATAGAATTCAGTTGAACTTTCATACTATGCAGCTCTACCCCTGCCTCTCCCCGAGATCAAAACCATCACCCCCACCCTTTAAGAAATAAATAGTAGAACAATTTGAAAGATTTGAGACCTTGTGATAGACCCCTTAGAATGAAAAATATATTGCGAGTTATTGTTTTCTTTTGAGCTAAATACTAGTAGTAGTAGTAGTGAAATTGCTTTCCAAGAAATTAATGTATCACTTTAGTGCCCACTTGGAAATTAGCTGTTAAGTGTTAACACCTAAACACAAGTCAAAGACACCTTTTAGCGAACTTTATGCATTTTTCAAACTCTATCCTTCCCTAACTAACCTAAGAAATGTAGTGCACCTAATTCGTTGAATTATTTAAGGTCAATGCATCTCTTTTGGGCGGTAACAAGGTTATGAATTATCATTCGGCTTTAACTTCTCTACAATGAGGTCTAAGAGAATTTTTACACTAAAAAATCATTATAATTAATTATCTATAACAAGTGAAATTAGCTATAGATGACCTGCTACAACATGTTTAATTACAATAATTATCAAAAAAATTCCAATATTACTGTTTACTCCCTCCGGTCCACAATAAGTGACCAATTTGCTTTTTTATTTTGGTCCAAAATAAGTGTCCATTTATATAATCAAGAAAAAAATTAATTTGTTTTCACAAAATTACCCTTACATACATATCCCTAAAAAGTTTTCTTACTCCTCACATTAAATATTTAATTGAGGGTAGTTTAGTCATACTAGGTATTTTTTGTATAGAATTTAGTATTTTCTTAATGGGCGTGCCAAAAGCAAATTGATCACTTATTATGGACCGGAGGGAGTATATTATAAATCTCATTCATATAGCCAGTTTTCACACTGGTCAATGAAAAATAGCCAGCGTTTACCAAGTCAATGAAAAATAGCCACTATTTTGCTGCAACAGGGACCGGTCCGGTATAATATACGGGAGTTCTGGTGCATTTGTGTACGAACTCCAGCATATTATGCTGGACCGGTATACTTTGCTAACTCCTGTAAAATTTGCGGGAGACTGGAGCACCAGTGCTCCAAACTCCAGTATATTATACTGGACAATTATACTTGCTGGAACTCCCGTAAAATTTGCGGGCGTATTTTTCCGGATTTTGAACAGTGTTTTCGCTCAGATTTAAAGTGGCTAAATTTCGATGACTTTTAAAACTTGGCTATTTTTCAACGACCAGTGGTACATCTGGCTATTTTTGAATTTCTCCCGATGCTTATGTGGTGTAAACCGAATTAGTTGGATTTTAAAGAGGATACCGAATATGAGTAGGAACAAATAAAAGTTGGTGTGCGTTTGGAATAAATAAGTAATTCCGAGTAGTAGTAATATTTTAATGAAAGATCAACAGCAACACCCGATTTTAGCGCCTATAACCACGCAAGAAGATTGAGTACTCTCTTGCATTCATATGTAGCGTGAAAGACACACATAAGATTGCAGTTTCCGAAAAGGCATACTTATATATTTTGCACGCTCAAAGAGATGATGCTCCTTTTTATGAATTTCATGCCATCAATAATAGTAATGTTTCACAGTTTTGTTCAGTACACTTGGACACCTGTATTTGAGTCACTCGAGAATTTTCCCACCTACACTTACTTTGAGCTTGCATTCTTCCTTCTGCTTGGAACACTGAGCTTTTAGCAAAATCT